TTCGATGAACGGGCACATTTCCAAAGATAAAAAATACTGCAACCCCTGGTTTCCCAGTTGTCAACTACGTGGATCAGAAACCCAATAATAATATACAAAAGGGTACGAAAAGGGTAAGTTTCGGCTTATTGTTTCATTTTCAGTATTATTTGAGACTTTTGAGCGAATTATTATCAAGCATCTATCCTCTAATTTTGGTTTTCATGATTCCAATAAGTTTACTTATTGTCAGCGTCGCTTGATTTTAGATGTGGTTGCTTGCCTTAAACATTCTGTTTTATCCATTATAGACCAAAAACACAAAATTGTTCATATTTGTTTCTTGGACTACACAAACGCGTTTAACTCTGTTGACAAAAACATCCTATTTTCAATGTCACGGCAACATAATCTCCCGCCACACCTTTTGAATTGGCTGCACCGCTATTTTACCGACCTCCGCCAATTCACTTGTCTCAATGGTATTAGGTCTTCCACTGTTACTGTAAAGCAGGGTGCAATTTTATCCCCTTTTCCGTTCTCCTTTTATATCCAAAACTTGCCAGTCAACCCAACTGTTTTGAAATTTGAATATACCGGTGACATAATAATTGGTGGCGCATCACACAACAATAACCCCCTTCATTCAGCCATAAGTTGCATTTTTGAATGGTCCGATGGTGTTAACCTTTCTTTAAACCCGAACCAATGCATTGAAGTTTTGTTTTCCATTAACCGTAGGCAATCAACACTTTCTGTATCATCTGTTTCCAACATTTTTTCTGAATTCGTGATTGAATTAAGCCTTGTTAGATCCAGGCTTGAGTTATTTACTGATCCACTTAATGACCAGATAGGTATGACAAAGGTTATTGCTACCTGCTAGGGGGTTGTGTCCAAGTGGTTAAGTCACCAATTTGTGACTCGGAAGTCCGGGGTTCAAACGTCACCCCGCCACCCGTCCTCCCCATTTCAGTATTTCCCCAGATAGCCTTTGTATGGTCGCAGCCCCCATCCTGACTGCACATTTGCACATGCAAAAATAAAAAAGAAATTGAAAATACATTGACATTGACATTTATTATGTGTTTAAAGTTCGATCACCCACGAATAAAATACGGATAGAAATATGCTGTTCCGGTAAGTGGGAATCCTGAATGTAGCGTCAACAGTAGATTGCTCATTCTGGTCAGGCAACGATCTTTCAAATCATGGTTGGTTTCGGACCGTATCCGTAAAGACTGATATCTAAACTTGTGTATGTATCATAAAAAATATAGACATTTCGCGCTCCTCGGCGTAATTTAAAAAGGAAAAGCAGAGAATACTGAATACAGTTGGTAAAATACGCCCCAAATACTGTCACTGGTTCATTCGCGTTGTGACATTCGTCTTAGAAGCGTACCTTAGTGTCTCAGTTGTTCAGGAAGCATTGCAAAATCATTCTTTTTGATAAGTGAATTTTTCAACAATCATTTACCTAAGAATATTCCAGTACATTTTGATCTGACTCGATTACAGTCCCATGGCTAAGGTTTGTGAGTCGAGGCTAAACGACTACAGGTTGTGGCTAAAGAATTGGAGTTTTCCCCTACAGCTTATTGGAGAAAAGGTGCAGTTATTCGGCTGAGGAGTAGTATGGTTGATTGGGCAAATTTGTCGCACATCGCTCTCCGGTATTTCCTTGGCCTCTGTATCCTAGGCATCCCTGTTTCAACTGATTGCTACCATATTTATCGGAAATACTTGAGACAGGCACAGTGAATCGTGAGTCAACGCATTTCCAATTTGTAGCACTTAGTTCGCTTATCCATTTATTGTTCAAATAGTTGTTTGGCAGATTTGAAGTTTGTATGTCGATTGTGAAAAGTTCAGTAGCCTCGGTGGTATTCGAACCCACGCATGGACACCGCCTACGCTTTGTACGCGCATGATCTTAATTAATTATAATTAATTATAATTACTCAAACGGCTATCAGCCAATCACCATACTTGTTCTTCAAATCACACAGCTTCTGCTTGAACTGTATGGCTGTTTATTGATTGATACTGTTGGCCTCCGGCCCAATGTCCAGAAACTGGAACGCGTAGGCACTTGGCTGTTGTCATCTCGGAGGGTTGACTCACCACAAGTTACTTATGAGTAGTGGTGTGGGATAGGTGATGTTGATCTGACTATTTGATTAACTGGTTATCATTAAAGGCTCTGATGTAAGGTGGCTGTCACAGTTATAACCTACCCGATGCCTTTGCAAGGGGCATGGAGTTCAAATGTCAGTAGGCTGGTTGGATTTGAATTACTGATGGGCATTATCAATGTCGACACTCGAGTCTTGTGCCTCTGAATGTATGGTTGAACGGGTCAATTAAACGCAAGGCTCCCCCCCCCCGTATTTTAGTTGAGAATCCTTCTATCTTTATGTCTTGATCGGTAGACAAACAAACTGAAAAGTCAAATGATTTAATGGCAGAATTAAGTTTTCAGACAGAAAGATTTTCTGACATGCTTCCCGAACCTTATCATTGTCAATAAGAGTTGAGGCTTGGCCAGAAACCACAGAATTCATATACAGAAATTCACGGTATAGTTAGGTCGGACGCACGTGTGTAATATTTACACAGAAAATAATTAGGGTCAAAAAGAACTTCACTAACTAGGAAAACACGGAATAAACTAAGAGGTTCTTAGCCATCGCGCAAATTAGCACCAAATGGAATTGTGGAAAACAACTGATAACGAGTTGGATTGACGTACGCTTTACAGAGAATGGGTATATTACAGGAAGACAATAAAGAGTATTTGGTAAAATAGGCTCGACCATGATAGAAAATAGTATCAATCAAGCTGTGTCATTTGTTCACGACTCCGGAAGAATAAACGATGCAGGTTACTAAGTGAATTTTCATTTGCTTTGAATACTAAGAATATTGGTTTGAAAAATGACACCTAACGTTTGGATAGCCTAAACTCTGGAAAACGAAGGATGACGAAGTGCCCAAAGAGCGTTAGAAGCACGACAACGATGGGTGTGAAAAATCAACTGAAACCATTTGGAGCCGTTTAGGGAAAGTTCCGAACCATTCGGAAAATACCAACCACGTGGGAGATTATTTGGGAACTTAATGATGTCAGATCGGATGAAACCGAAATGCGAATAACCAATGCTATCTGCCTACTAGAAAAGCCAAGCAAGACTAGAAGAGGGGAGGAGGTCAAGAAAAGCATCGAAATAAATTGATAACAGATGCGTACTTGCGGCTTAGCTGTTTCTTCGCCTACTGGGTTTCGGATCCTATTAGAAAAACAGCCTTCGAACCAAGTACTCAAATAACGAGAACAGCCACTCATTGCAGCTTTTGGAGAAGGCAGAAATAACGAGAGCAGTTCCATACTGATGCGTTATAGATAAAGCCACAACACAATATGAAGAAGCAGAACCAAAGAGCAGTTTTGAAATAACGCGAACCAAAATATTCATCGAATCAAGTGTGCATCTATGTAGTGTATAAGGAAACTTAAGAGCATCAATTGGAAAGATCTCACCGAAAACTGGCTCGCTCCTCCAATACTGTTCTGAAAGAGGATAATGCAAGGGGAGGGATTTGATGGTTTGGTTACTATCCGCGCACGCATTTGGGGAGCGAATAATTTTTACCTCACGGTAACGCGGATGAATTGAACACCTCGATCAAAATTAAAGGGACCAAATGATAACCATCTGAACCGGAGACACTGGTTGTGGTGCTTGGAAGTTTGAATGCCCTACCAGCGGAAAATTAGTCAAGATTATGATTATTTAGTGTATTAGAGTAGGGTAAAACAACATACCCTTGCTTGAAAAATTTCACATCCAAATAATCAACATTCAAGTTTTGAGAGAACTCGTTTTCCCTTGTAAAAATGTGATTTATTCTCTACTAACGTTTTTAAGCATTTTTCTATTAAGTAATAACCGGTGTATAATTGATCATATCCGATGATTCTGGAAGATGGAATGAATTCTTTTCTTCATCGGACTTTCCTTCTCCCGAGTTCAATGAAGCGAGCGTTTGTGTGGCCAAGTGGAAATCAGCCTGAGGCAAAAATGCAGTATGCCGGTAATACCGAAGAGTAACATCGTGTGAATCCACACCACGCATACATCATTAAGTGATAACCTCTTGGATGATAGGCGTGATCAGAATCTGAAGGTACGACTGACTAGTCTAACTTTGCTGACCTTTTCCGTGGTTGTAGTAAAATGAAGCTCACCAGACCGTCTCGCAGTTAGGAATGCCCAGTTAAGTAAGGGTTCAACGAAAAGCAGGTCACACATACTGTTTCGTTTGTAATATCTGAGCTACAGTAACCGTGTAATTTAGTTTGAGCTGAACATATTGACTCGATGAGAACAAGAATGGAATGCTGGTGAAGAACCACTCCCCCTAGCTGCATTTACAAGGCTATTATTAGCACCGCTCAACGTTTGAAAGTTCACATTAAGCCTGAATAAGGACAAATGGAAATATAAGGGCATATTCTCAGTCACGGAAATCGATATTCTTAGAGGTTGTTTGTTCGTAAACCAGTTGCAATGCTCAGAAAGTATATTCTTATTTCTTAGTCTAAGGTTATCGAGATGCTGTCCAGAAATACACATCACGAATAGCAGTTCATGGTTGTACACAATTTATAAACTACTATGAGTACCGAATTAAATGACCTGATTTGTTGAAAGGGCAATATTTTAACAGTTAATTTTCGAATAACATTTCGATAGAAAAGCGAGGTTTACTAACGAACTCCATTAAGCTGTCTGTTCAGCCGTCAATCCACGTGACGTTTGGTCACATTCGATCATTGACTTTCTGTTCATTCGAATGCCCTTGATTGTCACGTGGTTCATATGCATGAGCACACTACGAACTGTGTATGATGAGTGGAGATCAGCATTCCAGCATATGGACATCATCATATAGTTTAGATAAATGTACTCTGGGCTGCTTGTCCAGTCATTCGACATTCCCTCCCATGTTTACAGCCACAGAAGAATTACATAATACGCAACCACAGCAAACCGAAAGCAGCCAATCTGCGCTTCAGCCATCGTCATCCACCACTGCAAAGTCTGTCAGTATCGCAACCGTACAGCTGGAAGTCGGACACAGTCATCAATCAGATACTACTCAAACGTACAGCTCCCCAAGAAGAAATTCAACTCAAACCTCACGCAAACAAACTTCAGAACGTCGGGTTCGTCAGAAAATGAACACAAGCACTCCAAACTGTTCTTTCATGCAACCTGGTTTCGATACCTCTCTGGCGGGTTTATCATTAACGGACCCTGGTTCACATTCTACAATTGATATCGATTTTTCACTGCCCAGAAGTAATGCATTTGTACAAATTACTGGTGCAATTCAGGAACGCACAAATCAGTTGTTAAACGAGGCAATCAGATGTCGTGCCCTTAGCAATCATACGTCAAAGCAACTGAGTGAACGCTTGAAAATGGCCCAATCTGAGGCATCTCGATTCACTAAACGTGTTTCCTCTTTGAGCAGTAAAGTGGAAGAACGATCCCAGGTGAATAAACGGTTCCGGGCCAAAGTGAAGGCATTACTTGCGGTCATGGAGAAAATTCAAGCAAGTTTGGACTCTCTGAGCCAGGAAACCACGGATTAATACAGTGATTTTTCCAAAACACATAATAGATATGAATGGTTGCAATGCTTTTATTGTTTTTCACCATAATCTGTGGCGCAATTCGTAATTATTTCATTACTATGGTATTCTTTTGTTAGCAGATTCAAGAATCACAAATTAGGTATTGTCTCACCTCAAAAGCTGTGCAAATGGCTGTTTTAAATAGTTTTTACACTTCTTATATATGCTCATGCAGTTTTTGATAGTCATTGTAGTCGTGGGTAGGTTCGGATCAGCTTTTTGAACTTTTCCTATCGTTTGGACCTGTTAAACAACATGTTAAAGGTATTTAATGATAGATGACGTTAATACATATTGTGTGTTGATTGCTCATATCTTTCCTTGTGGAGCTGTGTGACTCCTTATATTTTCCGCAGTTTCATTCCGAAAGCTTTAGCATAGTTGCGGGTGGATATCGCGGGTTGTGGCTGGTCACCCTTGCCTTGCACTTCGTGAAGGTTTTCCCTACGAAAAAGCGTCTCGAATATCTTTCATTAGGAAAGCCCTACTCACTGCCTTCACATAGCTGAGGGGTTTTACCATGAAAGTGAGATGACGAAAAGCCGACATCCGGGGCCATAACCAGGTTGGTGGACCACTGGTAGTTCACCCAGGGGAGTTGGCCAAAACACCTTATTCCAAACCAACTAAGAGGACGCGTACGAGCCACACACACCTTCTTGGTTGTGGCAATCGTCACTGGCCCGGTTGTGTCCAGTTGTGTGCTCCATACACTTCGCCGGTTTTGGTTGCTGTCTTTTGGCTGCTCAGAAATAGCCAAACGGTGAAGTAAACCAGTAACAGTAAGCTTTGACCAAAACAGTGTGTAACCCAAAGAACCGTACGCGTGTCCAAAGCTAAAAGAGCGGCTAACCGCATACACAGTCGAGTTTTCGTGTATTCGTAGTGATTCTATACTTGATTGGCCAAAGCCATTGAGCTGTTCATTGATACATTGAGTGCTGGGGAAATCCAACGGTAAATTATTAATCCGTGTATTACCAATAGCACAGTCAACACAGACATCAAGGCGACACAGAGATTTGCGGTAACCAAAAGTTCAGGCCATATGACTATTAGTATGCGAAACAATGACAAAATTAAATCCACACGGAAAAAAGAAGTGGATTTTACAAACATTGCAACAATCCTTCTCCCAGAGCATCCGGCATAAGGGCAGAGAGCTCGATATGCTAAAAAGATCAACATACTCAGTCACCCAATCACCTTGGAGTTTGTATAAATCTACCAAGACGAGTTTTGCTTGCGTATTAAGTTACCCGGGGTCGTAATGCAGGAGTTAGTTCTTGCATTGCATTCAGTTACAATGCGACTAGGAATAGGATTTTGGTGTTCTTACGGGGAATCAGTGTGTGGTTTCTCAAAACATCAAGAGGCAGAAGGAGAGTAGCGTAATACGTCAACAAACCATTGGACTGTTTTCCGACAAACGCGAAGTTTTCCATGAGAGAGTGCCTACTATGTTTCAAACTACCTGATGGGATGTGTGTAACCCAATTTCATGGAAAGGGATATGTAGGACTATGTGGTGTAGGACGGATATTCTTAACTTTCATCGGGGATTATATGACTATCATCTCCTTCCAATAAACACACCATGCGAATGTCGCGTACCTCTCGCCCGCAGTTATTTTCAATTTGACTGTTCTTGTCCATCAAGGTCCGTGTGGCTTTCGATGACTACACCCGGTGGTCACTTATTGCGCGGTAGCTTCTCATCGGCCAATAGGACGACTTCTAGTTTCAACTCGAGAACCGAAGGCCGTGTGTCTTTCTTCTGTTTCAGCAAGTGAAGCGTCCGTGAACTCAGCCTTGATGTATGACCTTGTTGATAGTAGTTCGACTACCATGTGCAATGTAAGTATTATTCAATATTGTAGAACTGTATATAGTTGGCACATTGGAAGCATGATTGGTACACCTTACGAAGCTAAAGCATTCTCCAGTGCCTTGTCACCTATCATGTCCAAAATCTTCAACCTTCGTATTTCCCAGTGATCAACACCGGATTACCGGTGACCAGCAAACATCATACCAATTCTCAAGAATGGTTTTACTAGATATCGTCCTATAGCTTTTACTTCAAACACCTTGACGATGTTTGAGAAAACATTTTTACGCAAGTTGCCCCCAAAGTTGAATATACTTTACTGCAATGCATTTACCATTGCCGTAAAAGATGTGCCCCTGAGGTTCCAGATTCCCCAGTGCATTTTATCTTGTCATCGCTCGGTAATATTTGTATAAAAGTAAGAATATGCTTTTTAGACTCCAGTGACGCATTTGGAAGTTTTGTTGTAGTTTGAATTCTGCCTACTCATGCAAACTATGGAGTCTGTTAGCATGTTATTGCATGCTTAAATGACTACCTTTCCTTTCTAAAACAGTTTACACGCTATGATGGCAGTCTCCTTAAACCCAACTTGCGAATCAGGGTTATTCTGGAGTCATTCTGTCTCCTTTCTTCTTTTCCACCAACTTAGCTTCTATAGGTGTTTTCGCATTGACTCCTTTCTGGTCAGCTACGCTGATGAAGTTATTTTTCGCTTACCCCCTCCCAACAACTCTGTTCTCCTCAATGTCCAGCTTGATATCTCACAACTTAACTAGTGGTCTTCTGCATATAACCTTTCCACGAGTTTATCTAAATGTGTTTATTGTTTATATTCTCACCATAAGAATAAATTGTATTCTGATTCTCCTGAGCTTTGCAAGCCGCAATTCATTAGGGACGCATCCCTAAGTCGGAAGCATCAGTAAAATGGTCAATTCTTCCACTTAACCATCCCATTTCTTATTAAGAACACATCAACAATGCAGTCAACTCATTCACTGAAACACTCAACCACATGTTTAACCTATGCTGCCCTTTTGAAGCTCTATTTGTTTACAAAGGCAGTATAGCATCTCCACCGTTGAAATCATTCAGAAGACAAAATGAACGATCGTACAAATCTCGAGACACAGCGGCTTTCACGTATTACACCAACTTGATCCAAGCTGAAGTCAGATACCTCTCGTTCATCTCCCAGCTTCTGCAATGTAACAATAGTAAGCGAATCTGACAAGGTATCAAATTTCTGTGTAGGACCAAATCCAAAATCCGGATTTGGACAGTGTTAATGCAGCATTTATCCACCCATTAATCGATGCCATTTGTTATGGAAGATGCCGTTGAAGTAGAGGCCGTGTCGAAAGAAGAAACTCCTGAGCTTCTGCGTACTGTGAAAGCCAAGTGCAGTGTTGGTCCCGATGGTCTTTCAACTTTCCATCTGAGATATGGGGCCTCTTCTCTGAGTGAAATAATCGTATCATTTTTGAACAATTCCCAAAAAACCTGCTCCATACCAAAGTATTGGAAACCAGTAACAACTGTTTCCATTCCCAAATCCTCTTCTTCAAACTTTCTAACTAAACACTTTTGTCTTATCACTTTAACTTCTGTTGAACTTACACCAACAGAACGTGTTATTCTTACGCGCATCCAGTCTTCCACTGATGTCCCGTATGATAGATACTC